TAGAGTCGTAACTGTTTTTTTTTTTTTTCTTAAGTCTTTAAAAAAAATTATTATTTTTATTTTATGTGTATAAGTATATTGTCTGCATGTATATAAATGCACCCATGTCATGCCATGCCAGTGGAGGTAAGAAGAGGGTGTCTGATTCTCTGGAACTGGAATTACAGATGATTGTTAACTGCCATGTGCGTGCTGGGAACCAAACCCAGGTCCTTGCAAGAGCAGTCAGTGCTCTTAACTGCTGAGCTATCTCTCCAACCTCTCATTTTTTTTTTCTTTTTTTGAGACAGGGTCTCCCTGTAACCCCAGCTGGCCTGGAATTCACAATGTAGACTAGGCTGGCCTCAATCTCATAGAGATCCACCTGCCTTTATCTTCCCAGTGCTGGAATTAAAGGTATGTGTCACCATGCCTGCCTTCTAGCCCTTTTTTTAAAAAAAAATTTTATTTATTATTTTTATTTAACATATATTAGTGTATTGCCTGCATTATGTAAGTGTACCCATGTTGTGCAATGCCCTAAGAGGTCAGAAGAGGGCATTGGATCCCCTGGAACTGAAGTTACTGGAGCTAACTGGTTGTTAGCTACTATGTGGGTGCTGGGAACTAAACCTGGGTTCTCTGCAAGAGTAACCAGTACTCTTAACTGCTGAGCCATCTCTCCAGTTCCTTATAGGCCTGTTTTTGCTGACTCATTTGAAAGTTATAATCAACAGGACTTTTAATGTCTAAATATTTCAGGAGATATCACCTGAAAATTAGGGCATTCTTCCATATAATTGCAATATCCATATCACACTTTGAATTATCAACTTTTATTTCCTAATATCATCTAATATCTAGTTATAGACATTGCTGTTGGTACCCCACCCATATCCCCATGGCCTACATAGAAGTTTCCTGCAAACCATTCCTATAAAGCAGGTCACTTCCTGTATGTCTTTAAGCTGGCCACGAGGCAGGCTGGAAGTGCTGCGGAGTCAGTGCCTCACACTGTCTCTCAACTAAAGATGGAAAGACACTGGTGGATAGTTACCCAAGCTTCCTTCTGCTTCATGAGTTGACTGTGAGCTGTATTGCACAGAACTTGTCAAAGGCTCCATAGCAGCAGTTATCCACAGCAGGAACTTGTTCACTGACACATCCTTTATTAGTTTCCTTCCTTTCCCTGTCTTACTTTTTGCAATGCTTCCTGAGATGGTCTTCAAATAAACTATCTGTACTCAAAGTTTTGTTTTAGGACATGTTTTGGAGGGATCCAGAATCAAAGACATGAGTCTTTTGCTAGATTCATTTAAAAATAATAATATTAAATCATACCGTTCTTTTATCTGTAGAAAAGCAAACTCCAAGCCTGCTTGGAGCTTGGAGCCGGAGCTGCTCTTGGTGATGATCCTTACTTGAACAATCCTAAAGTGAGGTTGAGCCCTGCCCAGCCTATTTTAATAACAATAATAGTTATGAAGAACCTATTGTTCCATTTCATTTAATCCTCACAGTGACTCTGTAGGGTGGTACTATTATTATTCCTATTGTGTTAATCGAGAGGTTAAATAACTATTCAAAGTCACACAGCCAGTAAGAAACAGATCTCTAGTGTGCTTACTCAATGTGTTACAATGTATTGAAAGAGCCAGGTGTGGTGGTGTGCATCTGTAATCCCAACATTTGGGAGTGGAGACAGGAGGATCAGGAGCTCAAGGCCATCCTTAGCTACACAGTGAGCTCAAAGTCATGCCTCAAAAACAGAACAAAACAAAAATGGAGAGTTGGGGGTATACCTTTGTAGTAGAGTGCTTACCTAGAATATGTAAAATCCTAGGTTTGACCCTGCAACAGAAAAAGAAAAAAAAAGTATGGATAATTGCAGTCTTCTATTTTTTTTTTTTTTTTTTTTTTTGGTCTTTTTGAGACAGGGTCTCCCTGTAGCCCCAGCTGGCCTGGAGCTCACTATGTAGACCAGGCTGGCCTTGAACTCACAGAGATCCGCCTGCCTCTGCCTCCCAAGTGCTGGGATTAAAGGCATGTGCCACCACACCCAGCAGTCTTCTATTTTTTTTATAAATGGGAACAATAGTACTTTATGGATAAAATTTTCATTGGTAATGATACTGTAAACGTGTGTGTGTGTGTGTGTGTGTGTGTGTGTGTGTGTGTGTGTGTGTGTGTACATGTGTTCATGTGTGAAGTATACAGGAGCATAAGTGCATGTGGAAGTCAGGGGATGACTTTGGGTATTGGTCCTGGCCTTCCATCTTGTCTCTTGTTTGCTGCTGGGTACATCAAGTCAGCTGGCCAGTGAGTTTCCAAGGATTCTCCTGTCTCCACCTTCCATCTCACTGTAGGAGCACTGGGATTACAGCTACTACATCAGGCTGTTCGTGGGTTCTGGGGATCCGAACTCAGGTCCTCATACATTCATAGCAAGTGCTTTACCCACTGAACCATCCCTTGAGCCCAAATTTAGCTAGTTCTTGGAAGTATAATGCAAGGATTCCCCAATCAAATGAGAGCCTCAAGGAACTAAAACCATTCCTTGTTGGATTGGCACAGTTTATGCAATGGGCTCAGGCTATCAGTGGTAAAACTTTTCCAGAATTAAGTTGTGTGAAATCTTTCAATGTTTCAACTATTGTGAAAGTCAAACCTGTCCTTGGACTTGTCCCATTGCAGTCCTCAAGCTATCAGATGTTAAAGCACAGTCATCTCAGCTGAGTATGACAGTGTTTGCTGGGATGTGCTACAGATTTTTTTGCACAAGTTCAGGCTTTCTTGGAACAATACACCCCTGTTAGTAATATCCGGCCCCACCTGGTAACCTGGATACACAGAAAAACCTAGATCTTAAGAAGATGCCTTTCCCAATTACTGTCTTCTCTAAGAATCCATAAAGAGAAACAGACTTTGAACCCAATCTATCTGTTACTTGACCCTACTGTCATAAAGTGTTCAAATTCAGGTATTATAAAGGATCGTAACAGGGAAATAACTCAGGGTTCCTGGGCAGAGGAAGAGTTAGCTGAGGAGGTCAGCTGCTCAGAGCTTAGCAGGTAAGTGGCAAGCCTATCTTGTACAGAAAGGAGATTTAAGTGAGGGAAATTTAGTTTGAAAAATTGGTGTCTTGGAAGGAAAGAGTAGACAGCAAGTCTTCCCCTTTACAGGGTGGGGCAAGGTGTGGGAGGAAGTTTCATACTCCAAGTTTTACTGATAACTTATAATGGAAAGTGCTTCAGAAAAGTGACTTCTTTATCATCTTTTTTCAACCCTCCATGCTTTATTTACTTACTTGTTCTTATAGAGCTGGGAATTGAATCCAGAGCCTCAGGCATGCTCAGGAAGTACTCTTCCACTAAGCTATTCAGAAAACGATTAATGATCAAATTCTGAAATCACTATTTTTTTATTTTTATTTTATTATTGATGTGTGTGAGTGTGGGTATGCATGTGCCATGGCACACATAGGGAGGTCAGAGGACAACTTTAGGAAGTCGGTTGTTTTCTCTTACATGGGTTTCAGGATCAAACTCAGGTTTTCAGGTTTGCAGGGCAAGCACTTTTACTCACTGAACCAACATCTCTCCAGCCCTGAAATCATCACTCGTACAACAGAGTGATAGAAATATTTTGAGCAAGAAAATTCTATTACAAAAGAGTTCATCTTAGTACTCATTGCATCTTAAAAGATTGATGCAGGTCTGCCAGCCAGAAAGGTGAGCCTAGCAAGAAGGAAACTTGCTTTTGTTAGGACAGGCCTGGAACAGGAAGGAACAGAGGAGGCCCAAATTAGTCAGAGGTATATTCCTGGTCATGATGGTTAATGCTCATGGTAAAGTTACAAAACACCAAGTTGCTCAAGTTAGTGGAGGGGTCGGGAATGAGAAGAGATCAGCAGCATCTTTTGAAGAAAGAGAATATTAATTTAGGCAGAAGGGTAACTGTGAGCCTAGCCTTGGCTGTCCTGGCCTTGAATCCTGACCCTGACGTTTACCATCTTTTGGATATTGGGCAAATTGCATCATCTCCTTTAGAAACTACCTCAAGAGGTTGGTTGTTGCTGGGCATGGTGGTTTGCACTTGTAATTCCAGCACTTAGGAGGTTGAAACAGGAGGATTATGCGTTCCAGCCCAGCTTGGGCTATATAGCAAGATCCTTTCTCAAAAACAAAATGAAATAAAAAGGTGGTTGTAGGGCTTAATTGTGATTGAATGACTGTATGTGAAGTGTTTAATATAGTGTTGAGAAGTCATTCCATTATGCGTGTCTGCTGTAGGCATAGTAGTTCTGTTTGTCTGCCCGGCCGTCTGTCTGTCCATCCATCTATGCAGTGTTGAGAATCAAACCCAGGACCTTGCACATACTAGGCAGGTAGGTACTCTACCACTGAGAGCTATACCACCTGCCCAGTACAGTTGAACTCTAAAGGAAAGAATCCAAACATGCTTTTCCCAGATGCAAGTAGAAATATCTTAGAGGGATGAAGGAACAAACACATAGGAGAAGGAAAGGTGGATGTCTTGATTATACATCCTTCATAGTCCATGTATGGTCAAGTGGGGGAATGTTAAGACAAGGATATTAGCATGGTTTAAAACTAGAGGCCATGTTTCCACTGAATCCTTTCTAAGTGTGCACTGTTTGAATCTGGAAGTGTCGCAAGAACTCTCCATGATTAGGGAACAGCTTTCCAAAAATGACCCAAGCAAGGCTTTCAAAAAAGAATGACTTTGTTCAGTAAGACCACTGAGAATGGAGTTTCATTTTCCTTTTTGTTAAAGTGACATTCTACCCACTTTTCTGGGGAAGACCTGTTTCATCTTCTTTATGGCCACCCTGTATCATACAGCCTATTTCATTGTGGTTTTCTTTCATTGCCTAAAACAAACAAACAAAAAACCTCTGAAAACTAAAAGTACTTTGAACTTAATCAGAACAGATTGTTTAATTAAAAACTAGAAGTAGCACCGTTACAGCTGGGATGACTCACCTGGGACTTTATTTTAAATCCCTAATACACGGGAAGAAAGTTCATAAACTCATTGTAGAACAAAGTACAGAACCAGTTGCCTTCTTTGCCTCCAGGAGAGCCAACTTGAATTCATTAAAGATGGTGTGGAAGAGCAGCGGTCCACTGAAAACATGCAGACTTCTCTTAGTGGCTTTATTTTTGTCACAGGGGACAGCAAGTAAGTGAATATTCTCTTTGACTTCTTAGATTAAAAAAAAACACTAAAATTAAAATAATAATGTAGGGCTAGAGGGATGGCTTCGCAGTTAAGAGTGCATACTGCTCTTTCAGAGGATCTGAGTTTGAACCTCCAGCACTCATATAAAAAAACCGGACATGGGGGGCTGGAGAGATGGCACTGATTGCTCTTGCAGAGGACCTGGGTTTAACTTAACTCCATTTCTAGGGGATCCTTAACTCCAGTTCCAGGGGATCCGAAGCCCTCTTCTGATCTCCGCAGCATTGCACAACACGGGTGCACTCACATACATGCAGGCAATACACTCATACACATAATATAAAAATAATAAATAAAATATTAAAAAAAAAAACAGACATGGTTGTGCACCTAACCTTAGCATTAGGGGGTTAAAAACTGGGAGATCCTGAGAGCTCACTGGCTAGCCAGCCAGTCTAGCTAAAATGGCAAGCTTCCTATTCAGTGAGCAACCTTGTCTCAAGGCAATAATGTGGAAACAATAGAGGAAGGTACCCAAGTCCTCCCTGGCCTCTGCACACACATGCACAATTGCACATGCATACATCCTTGTGTGTATGCACCCCCCACACACAAACCAAATTAAAGGTGTTATGGGACATAGTAACATATTTTCTGAAAAGAGGTTAAGTGGTATCTGAGGCTCTAACTTTCTTTTACTTGCTTCTAAACCAGGAAAATAAAAACTGAAATTAAGGTATATTGCTATACAATGAATTTCTAAAAAATCAGAGTAAAAAAAAAAAAAAAAAGATCTGCTATAGACCCCAATCATGTACCCTATAAAAACGTCTACTGCACATACCAAAGCCACGTAAATATCTTTTAATTTCACTATACTTCCCAATAGTAAAATATCAGAAATGTGAGACCCAATTTGTCCATATTCCTATCATTTAATCAGAGAAGTATTTTCAAGTCAAGCTTTTCCCATATGCATATTCAATTGATATAATGTGATAATTATTAGAGCTGAACTTTCTATTTTGCCTTTTGGCTTAATGTTAGATCTTAATTACTTTTCCACTATGGCAGCCCCTTTTCCTTTTTATTTCCCTCTTTGACTCCCTTGATTTCCTACTTTTAACCCCTTAAAACAAACATTAAGTCTGATATTTCTCCACTTTTTACCCTATATTTACCACTGCTACTCAATATAAATATATGATATTTTCTCAAGATTTTTCTTCTTGGCTATACATTTTAAATCAGTTCTGCTTTTTACTTTGGTATTTGTCAAATTTCACTGAGCATTAGAATCACCTTGGGAAACTTTACAAGGTCTAAAGGTCAGGTTCTGCTCCTACCAATCCGTCAGATGTCTGGGTATGAGCTTAAATTAACATCAGGACTTTTTAAAAGACCTCCAGGTGATTTCAATATGCAGGAAAATTTGGTAACCACAATGTTTTATATTTTTCTTATTTTAGCTAATAATACTTTATGGGGTAGGCACAATAGCTCACACCTGTAATCCCAGTACTTGACAAACTGAGGCAAGAGGATCTCGAGTTTGAGACCAGCAAAATCTCCAGACAAACATTGTGCCTTTATTTCCCTGTAAAATCATACAGATCCATAATTAATTCTAATTACCAAGAGTATATTTTGCTGCATTAATATAACCTAATTCATTTATCCTATCCCCTGTGTATGGACCTCTATTGTTTGCTCTGCATATTTTAATAGTTTCTTCCTGTATCCTTAGGTTCTGTTTTAACGGTGAATGGTAAAACTGAGGACCATTTCCTGGACACTTTACCTGGGACTCAAGCATCTCTGGAATGTGCTGTTCAAAACCACACCAGAGATGAAGAACTTCTCTGGTACAGAGAAAAGGGGAGAGTGGATTTGAAACCTGGAAACAAAATCAACATCAGCTCTGTCTGTGTCTCTTCCATCTCTGAAGAGGACAATGGAGTCAACTTTACCTGCAGGCTGCAGAGCGACCAGACTGTGTCCATCTCAGTGGTGCTGAATGTCACTTGTGAGTGGAGGGAAAAGAAACTGCTAGTCTGTAATGTATTAAGTGTTGAAATCTAGATCTTGATTTTGCCACATGGCCCAATCTATGTTCCTACATGAAACATCAGCCTGCCTATTTTCCTTCCCCTTGTGAGAACTGGATATAAGCTAGCCCCATTTGAATAGCCCCCCACCCTTCATCTCTCTGTGTCTCTCGTCTTACAATGTTGCCCAGTCTAGTTTCAAATGTATGGGCTCAAGTGATCGTTCTGCCTCAGCCTTCCAAGTGCTGGGACTATAAGTTGTGTGTGCCACTGTGCCTAGCTTATTTTCACCTTTTAAACAAAAATGATGGTAGTTGCCTTTTCATACACATATTGGCCATCCATGTTTCTTTTCTGTGAAATGCCTTTTCACATGCTTTACCCACGTTTCTACTGGGTATTTGCCCCTTTTTCCTCATTAATTTGTATCAGGTAGTAAAGCATGGTGGTACACACCTATAATTCCTTAGGCCCCTGGAGAGGGGCCTAAGGCAGAAGGATTACCAGTTACAGGCCAGCCTGGGCTACATAGCAAGACCTTGTCTCAAAAACAGCAATAATGCTGGGTGCTGTGGTACAAGCCTTTAATCCCAACACTTGAGAGGCAGAGGCAGGCAGATCTCTGGGAAATCAAAGCCAGCCTGATCTACATAGCAAGTTCTAGGCCAGCTGGGGCTACAGGGAGACCCTGCCTCAAAACAAACAAACAAACGAGAAAACAAACAACAACAAAACACAGCAAAACAAGACAAAAATATAATTAGGGAAACTAACCTTTTGTCATTTTGAATTTTTATTGCATTTATTAATCCATTTGTGTGTGTGTGTGTGTGTGTGTGTGTGTGTGTATGTGTGTATGTATGTGGCAATCAGAGGACAACCAAAGGAGTTGGTTCTTTCCTTCTACCATATGGATCCTAGGGATTGAATTTAGGTCATCAGGATTAGTGGCAAGTCCCTTTACCCACTGAGCCATCTTGTCAGCCCCAGCCCCCCTCTCATCCCCCGGCCTCCGGTCCCCTGGCCCCTGGCCCCCAAGCCCCAATCCCCCAGCTCCCCAGTCCCCACCCCATGCCATTTTGGGTGGTATTTCAATTACTTGCTTTTGAAATGTTTATAGTTCTTTTTGTGACTATTTTAACACATATATTTAATTACCAGTCATTTTTTTGTGCTTCTATTTTGAAAGATAATTGAGGATTATTTTCCATCAGTCACCATAAAATATCCCGAAAAGTGAAGTTTTCCAATGGGTGGCTTCCAGGCATCTCATTGGTGGAACAACATAAAAGATTCAGGGCTTGATCTCTAGAACTGCAAGAAAAATAAAACAAAAACATCTAAATGGAAGCTTGATAGTATACCATTTGAGGAAGCGTGTGGAGAAACTGGTTCTGCTGTATGTTGTTGCTCAAAGTATGTGGTATTTTTCCAGTGGGCATATTATATGTACATAGAAAAATACGTTTCTATTTTTATTTATGTGTGTGCATGCCACATATGTGGGTGTGTCTGTGGAGGTCAGAAAATGGCATTGAATCATCTGGAGGTGGAATTGTTTGTGAGCCATGTGGGTGCTGGGATCTGAATTTGTTTCATCTGGAAAAGTAGGAAGCATTCTTTTAAAAAAATTTTTATTTAATTTATTGGGGCTAGAGAGATGGCTCAGCAGTTTAGAACACTGACTGTTCTTGCAGAATACCGGGGTTTGAATCCCAGCACCCACATGGCACCTAACAACTGCCTGTAACTCCAGTTCCAGGGGATCCGACAGCCTATTCTGTCTTCCTTGGGCATTGCATGACACGGGTACACTTACCTACACACAGGCAATACATGCAAACACATAAAATAAAAATAATAAATAAAATATATTTTTAAATTTTGTTTATTTATTTTGGTCTTTTTCAGACAGGGTCTCCCTGTAGCCCCAGCAGGCCTGGAACCCGCTATGTAGACCAGGCTGGCCTTGAACTCACAGAGATCCACCCGCTTCTGCTTCTTGAGCACTGGGACTAAAGGCGTGCACCACCATACCCAGCTAAATTTTTATTTATTTTTAATATTTTATTTATAATTTTCATTTTATGTGTATGAGTGTATTGCCTGCATATATGTGAGTGCACCTGTGTCGTGCAATGCCACAGAGGTCAGAAGAGGGCTTCGGATTCCCTTGGAACTGGAGTTAAGGACGGTTCATAGCTGCCATATGGGTGCTGGGAATCGAACCTGGGTCCTCTGCAAGAGCAGTCAGTGCTCTTAACCACTAAGCCATCTCTCCAGCCCCTAAATATTTTTTATGTGTGTGAGTATATTGCCTGCATGTATGTAAGTGTACCTGTGTTGTGCAATGCTGAAGGAGGTCAGAAGAGGGTGTTGGATCCCCTGGAACTGGGGTTACAGATGGTTGTTAACCGCCATGTGGGTGCTAGGAATTGAACCCAGGTCCTCCTCTGCAAGAGCAGTCACTGCTCTTAACCACTGAGCATCTCTCCAGCCCCAGGAAGTATTCTTAACTGCTGAGTCATCTCTCCTGTCCATAGAAAGATATTTTTAAAAGGTTGAGAAAGGTTTACCCTAAATTCATAGCAATAAGAAGTCAGGAAGTAACTAGGCTGGAGTCAAAGAAAATTTTAGCTTTATCCAAGATGTACTGATTTTTTTTAGAGGGACAGTGTTCCTGTATAGCAGACATGCTTAAGCATTCATTAATGCTAAATGGTTAAAAGGAATAGTCAATAAGATCTGTCCACAAATGATCTGTTGTACTGGCAATTATGCCATCCTTCCCTGCACCTTCCTCTATATCTGAATGCCATATAACATCCTTGCTGGATATGAATACAGAATTCAAGCTCATTCCAAAGAGCAACAAAATGTCATTCTCCTGAGAAAGTTATTAATAGCACAACCTACTCAGGGTCTAATTATTCAGTGTGCAGATTACACAAGCTCCTTTTTCCTCCTTCTCCAGGTCTGTCTCCTTTCCTTACAGCCCACTTTTCAACCATTTTATTAATCTTTTAAACCTTTGCCAATACATACACGAGGCATAAATAAAAAGGGAAAATTGCTGGACTGTCCATGGGCCTGTGACTGTTCTCACTGTGGACGGAGTAAGGAAGGAGTTACTAGGAAAGCAAGATGAAAAGGGATCACTAAGCTCCCATGAAGGCCAGAGCTACCACAGTTGGAACGCCTCTGAAGGTGGACATTCTTTCCAGAGGATCACTAGGGAAATGCAAATATGCATTGGCAAATATGTGGCTAGGGCAAATGTGGTTAGACAGAATGCAAATATAGAGGGTGTGAATAAGCTGTCAAAACCACTGCCACCACATTCATAATAGTAGTTAGCATGATAGCAAATTCTCTACAGGATTGTCTCAATCTTCACAGCAACTCATTTTTTTTTTTTTTTTTTTTTTTTTTTTTTTTTTTTTTTTTTAGATGAGGAAACCAAGATCTTAACAGTTAAGTACCTGTCTCAAAGTCACAGTAGGTGATATGTATGGAACTTGGGCTACCTATAGCACCTGCCTTTGTAGTGTTATTATCCTGTTTTATCCAACTCTAGCACAAATCGGTTTATTATATATGCTCAAAAATCAAGGACCCATGGTTTATTCTCTTGGGTAATGTTACAAACTGTCTACCTGGACAGATTCATTATTATAAATGATGTTCCTCATCATATGCTGTTTCATGGTATTTCTTCACCACATTAAAGATTCTATAAAGTTAGAACCTGAATGCTTGGTATTTACTTTCATGTTCCTAGTTCCTAGCCAACTGCACCCAGTAGCTACTCAGTAAATCTTTGTCAAAGGAGTGAATGAGGGGCTGGCGAGATGGCTCAGTGGTTAAGAGCACTAACTGCTCTTGCAGAGGGCCTGGGTTTGATTCCCAGCACCCACATGGAGGCTAACAACCATCTGTAACTCCAGTTCCAGGGGAACCCAACGCCCTCTTCTGTCCTCCAAGGGCATTGCATGACATGGATGCAATTATATACATGCAGGCAATACACTCATACACATAAAAGTTTTTAAAAGGAGTGAATGACGATCTGATGTTGACAGAAGATCTTGAATTGCTGATGGTGAACTATTGCTTGCTTTCTAACTAACATTTAATGCTTGAGTCTTGCAGTTCCTCCTATTCTAAGTGGAAACAGCACCCAAACAGTCGAGGAAAACAATGATGTGAGGTTGGTTTGCAACGTGAACTCCAATCCCCAAGCTCAAATGATGTGGTATAAGAACAATAACGTCCTGGTTTTAGAGAAAGACCGTCACCAAATCCATCAGACAAGTGAATCTTTTCAGTTGTCAATTACCAAAGTCAAGAAGTCTGACAATGGGACATACAGCTGCACTGCAAGCTCATCGCTGAAAGTGGAGAGCCTTGATTTCCACCTGGTTGTTAAAGGTAGCTGTCTCTCATCTCTCTCATCTCTCTCATTTCTCTCTCTTCTTTCTCTCTTTCTCTCTCTCTCTCAGTAATACTCATCATGGGGCATAACTTAGAATAAAGGCTCAGTAAGCATTTTCAATGACAACAAATGATGATGATAATTACGATTTGTAGCTAAGATTTTCCTTGGAAAACTATCCCTATCCAAGAGATTTCTCATCAAGAATTTTAGCCTTAAGGGCTGAAGAGATAGCTCAGTGGTTAAGAGTACTTGCTGCTCTTCCAGAGGACCCAAGTTTGCTTCCTAGCACCTACATTGGGTGTCTCACAACCACCTGTGACTTCAGGTCCATGGTTTCTGACTCCCTCTTCGGGCTCCTGCAGGCTCCTGTGCATGTGTGTGTGCACACACGCACGCGCACACACACACACACACACACACACACACACACCCACACCCACTAAAATAAAGCTTTTTTTTTTTAGAATTCTAATCTGAGCCAGGCTAGTTCGCACAAGTCTGTAATCCCAGTTACTCAGAAGGCAGAGGCAGGAGGAGAGTGAGTTCAAGGCCTGCCTGAACAATGCTGTGGGACTATGAAAAGGGGCTGAAGCTACAGCTCTGTTGGTAGGGTGCCTCCTTGCATGCGTGAGGTCTTCAGTTTGATCCGCAGCACTGCAGGTAGAGTGTTTCCTTTAAAAAAGAAAAAAGAAATTCTGGTCCATCCTTTCAGAAGATTTATGCATACAAACTTTTGAGGTCTAGGACCGAGTGTAGAAGGCAATTCTGGTGGAGCTTTTTTTTGGCAGGGAGGAGTGAATTCCAGAAATTTTGTTGGCAAAAAGGCATGCAAGACAACCCAATAATGGAAGAGAATTCAGAAACACACAGAAATAAACCATTGATTAGATTTCTGACAAAACAAATCTCTGCAATCATTGCTCCTAACTCTTGACATCTGACCTGTCAGCTGATCAGAAAGGGAGTGGGGAAAGATGATTAAACAAGAAGCTCTCTCCCTGAAGTTCTGCTTCATCCACTCCTTATCCACCTCTGTGATAATGGGGAACAAGTGACATCCCGAGTGTCCTTGGATTTCTTGCTCAGACAAGACGAGGAAGGTAAGATAGCTGGTGCTGTGGATGCACAACCTTCCTGTATACACGTTCTGGTCTTGGGCCAGTACTCAGGGAGCAGCCAAACAAGCTGAGGCTTCTGCATCATGTTAGAACATTACTTACTTTGACATTTGCCTCCCTGTGCCCCCTCATTGCCATTCTTGCCAGTCCCCAGGAAACAAACCAACCTCCAGGATGGACTGATGTCACTGCAGCATATCTTACTTTCTCTCCACACTAGGGAGCCCAGGATATGAACAGAGCAGGTAGTGGGGAGGGAGACTTGTTGTTGGTTAAATGCCTGTCACTGTGATTGCTGAGTTGTTCAGTAATTTGTTCTGCAGAGCAATGACAGTATGCCTAGGCGCTACTTGATTCAAGAACCAAACCTACAACTAACCTGTGTCCAAAGGTCCGAAGCTGTGGAAGGGATACCACCTTGAAGCTTTCAGCTTTTCATCTTCCATAAGGTGCATGTAGGGTGTGCCTCATGCCTGCCACCCTAGCTAAGTGTGAGATGGGGGAATTATACCATCCTTCTTAACCACAGAACCCCAGCCCCTATACCATCCTTCTTGATTATGAAGAAAGTATAATTGCTCTAGGCCTCTTTAAAAATTTTAAAAAAAATCACACAGCTCATGTGGCAATCAGCAAAGTGTCTTTTAGGTGGGCAGAAACTTGTTTTGGGTGGAGTTCTGCCAAGCCAACTTGTTTTTCTTATTTCTTCTTGCTTTGTTACTGGCTGCCTTTGTGGCACAAGCTTTCTTCTGCTGGCACTTGGGCTCAATGCCAAATCTTCCATGAGGCTTTCCCAACTTCCATGCTCAGTGGAGGTAGTTGCTAAATGAAGGCAGAAAAGAGCTGGAAGTGGCATCATGAAGCTTTTCTCCAGCATAAGATTTAGCCCACAAGTTGGAATTATTTTACTCTAATGATCTGGGCGAGGGGACACAGAGGCTGGTTTCAGATAAGAGCATCAAAACAGGATGAGGGGAAGGATGTAGGTAGCTACGTATGTCAAAGTTACATCCAACAGGAACTCGGAATCCAAAGTGAGTCAACAGGTCAGTTGGTTTATTTCAGCTTGGTTTGTGGAATGAAAACTGTCACATGGGGCTTCATTTTTTTTCAGTTTGGTAAAAATACTCCAATCTTTGATTGCATTCTGATTTGTTTTCTGAATCATCTGGTCTTGCTTCCCTTTTGTTCTGATGCCTGTCCTTAGTGTACAAGGAGAGGGACCTCCAGTAAGGTAAAGAACCCAGTATGTCCCAGAGCTAGTTATTATAGCCAAGACTTTCTAGAAGAAGACTCATCAAGCAAACCTCCTCCCACACTTTCATGAGAATAATTTTTAGGAATAGTTAAAAGAGGGCAGAAGTGAAGGATGCTTTAGTGGTAAGGGTGTATCACAGTGGTAGGATTTGTGTTTAGCATGTGCTGGGCCCTGGATTCTAGCCCTGGCAAAACAAAGCAAGGGATGTTTCATTCATTTACTTCCCAAAATTATCCTGAACAAGAGCTAGAAAACTAATGGAAAGAAAATGTTTGAAAAATAATTGGTTGGGCCGATGAGATAAGTCAGTGTATAAAGATGATCACCACCAAGTCTGATGACCTGACCTCTATCCCTGGGTGGAAGGAGAGAACTGACTCCTGCAAGTCATCCTCCGACCTTCACATGTATGCCGTTGCATGTGCATCACACACACACACACACACACACACACAAATAAATAAATAAATAAATAAATAAATAAATAAATAAATAAACTTTATTCTGTAGACTTGAGGCATATTGGGGAATGGATTTTATTTCCAAGCTGTCCTGTTGCTGCAGCCCCCTTCCTGATCCAAGTAACTGTCCTCTGTGCTTTTAGAGAAGTATGGGAATCTTTGCTAAAGTTGGGAAGGCTAATTATTGGAGACACCATGCAGCCATTTTCTAAAATGTCCTATCCTCTGCCTGGAGCACTAATACAAAACAGGAAACAAGTGTCTCCACTGCTCTGTGTGTCCATAGCTCTTTCTGCTTTAGTCTTAGAGAGCTCTTTCCAATTGATCTTTTTGTTCTCCCAGCCTCCCTTCCCTTCTTTCCTCATCCGATAACCTTGGGGCTTTTGAGAAGACAGGAAAAGCCTTGGTTCCAGCCTGCTTCTGCTTTCTGTGTGGCAAAAATTGTAGGTGAGGGGGCTGGAGAGATGGCTCAGTGGTTAAGAGCACTGACTGCTCTTGCAGAGGACCTGGGTTTGATTCCCAGCACCCACATGGCGGCTACGAACCGTCCTTAACTCCAGTTCCAGGGGAATCCGAAGCCCTCTTCTGACATCCGCGGCATTGCGTGACACAGGTGCACTCACATACATGCAGACAATATACTCATATACATAAAATAAAAATAAATAAAATATTTTTAAAAATTGTAGGTGAAGAAAGCACAAAATGGTCTGACTACTTGCTTTGGGGAAGTTGTTAATATTACATTAAATTATTCTTCCACAAAAAAATGGATTAAATTTTTTTTTGTTGCCATTTACCAATTCTGTGGTTTTGGACAAGTAACTTATTTTCTCAAAGCCCCTCATTTCTCACCTTTTAGAGTTTTTGGGAGGATTTAGTTAAAAGGGTGCTACTATACAGAGTATAGAAGGCACCATGCCTGGTACATACATATTAGTAATACACAAATTAAAAATTGGCTTTTCTTCCCTGTGTTTGCATTCCCAACAGAGAGAGGTTTGAGGGTACCGATAGAACCCATCATTGCTGCATGTGTTGTGGTCTTCCTGACACTGTGTTTTGGACTGCTTACTAGGAGGAAAAGAATAATGAAGGTACTTAAGAACTCTGAGCTATTGAAGTAAAAATCTGGGGATGTAGTTCAGTGGCAGAGTACATGCTTTGGCAGGTACAAGGCTCTGGGTTCTGTTCTCGGCACACACACAAGAAAAGAAAGAAAGAAAATGGTGTTGCTCAAGGGGATAAAAATTGTACATACATCATGAGCATAGCTTTACAAAGAACAGAAGTGCATATGGGCGATGCCTGAATGGAAGAAGCCGTGGTACAGGCAGGGGTTTGGGAGTTGGTTTTTCTTCCTTTTAAATTTCTCCTGCCAGATGTGGTAGTGCACACCTGTCATCCAAATTACTGGGGTGATGGAAACAGGATAATTCTGAGTTTAAGTCCAACCTGAGCTGCATAATGAAATTTTATTAAAAAAAAACAAAATAAATAACTTTCCCTTTATAGTTGCTATGGTGCCTGTGGTATAATAAATAAATACAGAGAAGAACATCTGCTCTGGATTTGGAGGTCTGCATGCTTACCTCTTGAAAACAACCACATGCTCCATAGAGCAGATTGGGCTTTGACTTGTCCAGTGGTTAACATCATTGCTTACTATGATTCAGAATATGTATACACAGAGGTCAATGCCATGCATTGGACTCGGCCAGGTCATTCAGGGCCAATGAGGGCAAATGTGGCAGAAAGTCTCTAAGGAAAGCCAGTATGCCTGAGGCTGAAATCATCAGTCAGCATGTGGCATTCTCCATGCAGCACGTAACTGAATGTTATTCAGGACAACAGTGTTTCCCAAGAAGAAACTCACCCCACCCACCCTCTGTTTCAATCCAAAGCATTTTTTTCCAGAGAGAGAGAGAGAGAGAGAGAGAGAGAGAGAAACCTCTGCTGGTGAGATGGCTCAGCAGGTAAAGACAGTCACTGCCAAGCCTGATCCTGATGACCTGAGTTCAATCTCTGAAGCCCACAAGGGAGAGAGAGAACCAACTCCCTGCAAGTTGTCCTATGACCCCCACAGCTGCACTGTGGCACACACATACCACCTCCCCCATCTCATCCCACTCCCATAAAATAAAATAAAAAATAAATTTCTTTTTTTTTTTCATTTTAAAAGAGAAAGAGCTAACTGTCCATGAACCCTGGAAGCATTCTGATGAAGAGTGATGTCTTCTCAAATTTCATTAAGAACTGTCCATGTGCTATAGAAATGAATCTGTGCAGAGGTGGTTGTTCCACAGTGCTTGTCCCTAAGTCACACTGATGCATTCGAAATGTTCACCCATGGGCCTTAGAAAAGGAGGCAAACTCATTGCACTTGTGCTTGCTTTTTAGCTCTGCATCAAGGAGAAAGACCTTCGAAATAGTGAAACAGCTTTGTAAGTGTTTTGGGTCAGGGCTGTTCTTATAAGCGATGGGCAACCGTGGTTTATATCGTTAAATCTATTCCAGGCGGTCTCCTCCAGATAGATATGGGAGGCCCTGAAAGGTGAAGGGGTTCAGAGGAGAAGAGAAGGTGGAAGAAAACCTACCTCAATTTTAGAGGAAGAAGTAGGAATGTTGCCTAAAGCTGAGAACACCTTCAGGCTTTCCACCTACTCTCTGAGCAAGTTTGGCCAAAGCTTGTGCAACTCTCTTGCCACACGAAGCAACTGAGAGGGATTGCCCTGGAGGAGTCATTGTCGGATTATCCTCTTAGAGCAAGGCCAGGGCCACTGCCCTCATCCTACACACTCCTTCCTCTGTGAGCTTCAGCACACGGGAAGTGGGCAGTGGGTAACAAACAAAGGCACTCTGCCAGAGAGGATGGGTTGTGTTTTGAATTTTGTTCTTATTACTACAATCATCATTTGAATTAATTTCTTGGTTCATTTCAGATGAGAAAACTGAGCTGCCGCCTAGCACACGAAGAGTTTTGCATTGGGACCGCCTCAATTTATGTTCCATCTGTATTTATTGCTATTATTAAATCCCCTCCTGTCACATTGTCAGAGGTTATGAAGAAGTGTTTCGTTAATCACTGAACAGTAGTTGTTATGACTAATTTAATATACTTATGGAACAACTTTATGGTGAGGGCTGTTCAGAATGAAAAGTAAGATTTTTGTTAAGCCTTTCTTGAAGTCTATGTTAATTAATTGAGATTTATTCCAAATAGGTTGGTAGCCACTTGCTATTTGACTTTCTTTTTTTCTAGGTAGATTAGCAAACATATGGGTTTTACAAATCAGCATAGTAGCAGAAAATGGAAATAAAAGCAGGGAACACTATAGTGTGATCAGTTTTCTAAGCTGCCAGGGAAGACGTAAAGATGTAAATTATCATCTATTTTCAGTGTCTCATAAATGCCTTAGGACTAAAGAAAGAGGGATATAATCTCAGAATAAAAGACGCTTCTTTAAGTGGAATAAATTTAGTATCATGAAGCTTCGGCATATGTCCTTATTTCTCTCATCTCAGCCTGATTGACAAGATCATAAAATCAACAGCTCTGTGTAGTGTGGAATGTGCAAAGGGCAGGGGGCAGGGCTGGATGGCCTGATGGTGTTCCTCTTACAAGTATACTCTGCCTCTTTTTCCACAGTCATTTGCATAGATCTGCCTGCATTTATTATGAATCAGCATGTACTCATGTCATGTCAGCTTTAAATCACAGCTTACTTCTAATTCACCATTGACTGCCCTCTTTCCATTTTCTGTTTATGTTTTTTCCTCAGAAGAGTTTATGCTTCTCTTTTCTGTTTAACCAGGGTGAGCTGAACAAGAAGCAGAGCTGGCAAGAAACACCTTTCGTGTTTCCACAGCTTTCCACCTCTAACTTGAATAAGAATGTTTTTCTCTATTTTTTTTTTTTCTTTTGAAGTACTTGGGGTTAAACCTAGGGTTTGTCACAGGTTAGACAAGTGCTATACCACTGAACTATATCCCCAGTCTCACCCTTCTCCAAAATTTGTTTGGTCTAATACTGTAGTCACAAAATACAGTAGAAAGAGGTGGGGGGCGGGGGGGGAGGGAGAGAGAGAGAGAGAGAGAAATTGGAGGTTATAGGTTTCTCTGTCCTCTTGGGGGCCCCAGCAGGGTTTTGTAAGGTAGTCTTAAGAACGTATCGTGTGGGTTGGGGCTATTAGTTCAGTGGTAAAGACCTGCCCAGCATGTCTGGCAAGGTTCTGAGATTGATCCCAGCACTGGAAGAAACAAAAACAATAACAACAACAAAAAACTATTTGCTAGGCATGGTAGAGCATGCCTATAATCCTGGCACTCAGGAAGTTAAGTGAGGCAGGAATATCCTAAGTTTGAGGACAGCCTGGGCTATAAAGCAAGACTGTCAAAAAGAAAGAAGAGTCAGAGATAGAGGAGAAAAGAAGAGAAAAGCTAAGATGTTCTAACTCTTGCAGAATTTCTCAGAGCAGAATCTGGAAGGCCTGATGAGATGCTGTAAAGATAAAGTAGGACTGGGGATTAATTTGAAAGCTTAGATGATTTAGTAGAAGTCTGGATCCTATGAAGACAAAACATCTCAGGCAATGACAGGCTTAGATAGTTTGAAAAGGGAAAAGTAAAAATGTACATGTCCAAATGCAGTTGGAATCAGGAGATGTAGTCTTGGCTGCCCTGTCTTGAGTAGTTCTTTTCCTTCCTGTGGACATTTGGAAAATGAGGAGGCCATATGAAGGAGAGCTTTAGGAGCCTATATCAGCTTGATAAGTCTGATTCCCACATACTTTAGGTAAATGTGGGAAAGAGCTGACAAGAAAGACTGAAAATGTAATACCTTTGCTCCACCTAGCAAAATTATGAATCATAGTATGTTCTAGAACATAGAACAATCTTTGAGAATTGCAGGTCATCAGCAAAGAATTTCTTCACCCGTACAAAATACAGTGTCCTTGTACATTGGCACAAAGAACACTTACTAGGTTTAACAGCACATAGCAACGTCATAAATGGCCATTACATTTCATGTTCCCTTTTGGTTCAGAGCAAACAGAGTCAATATTAAAACTAGGGCTACTGTTAGGCTATGACTATTGTTAAAATCAAAAGTAAGCCTGCTTAGAAGGACATGAAATTCCAGGCCTCAAAAGTGGACCCCGTGGCTTTTCCTCCAGTATTTTCTCTACCTCCTGTGAAATTTTGAATCCCAACACTCAGACTTCTCATTTTGACCCTCAGACCAATCCCCAGTAGAGAAGTACCAGAGCCCTTCTCAGTCTGCCCCTAAGAAGGACACTTCTTATTGGTTTTTCTCCTCTTTGGACCTCTTTTTTTTCCCCTTTGTTTTTAAGATTTTATTTTATTTTTAAAATATTTTTTCAAAATTTTATATATATGAGTGTATGGCCTGAGTGCATGTATGTAAATGCATCCATGTCATGCAATGCCTGTGGAGGTCAGAAGAGGCTGTCAGATCTCCTGGAACTGGAGTTACTGATGGTTGTTAGCTGCCATGTGGGTGCTGGGAACTGGACCTGAGTCCTCTGCAAAAGCAGCCAAAGCTCTTAACTGCTGAGCCATCTCTCCAGTCCTTGTTTTAATTTTAATTATATATATACGGGGGGGGGTGCATGTAAACACACTGCTTTCAGAGGCCAGAAGAGGGTGTTGGATCCCCTGAACCTGGAGTTACAGGCAGTTATGAGCCACCTGACATGGGTGCTAGGAACCAAACTGGGGTCCTCTGCAAGAGTGGAATGTGCTCTTAATTGCTAGGCCATCTCTCCAGCCCCATCTTTTATTCTTTTCTTTCCCTCTGGTACTAAGGATCAAACCCAGGGAAAGTGCTCTATCACTGACCTATATCCTCAGGTCACCACTTTTTGGTAAAATTGATCAACCAAAATATGTGTATTATAGTAATCTATCTTCCTAACTTTAGAAACATTTATTAATATGTACCTACCAGTCTGAATTTATATTATGACAGTCCAATTACCCAGTCAATGTAATTCTACCTGAAAGCAAAAAAAGCTGATATTTTTAAAGATAAACAATAAAAGCCAGGGGTGGTAGCATAGACCTCTAATCCTAGCACTTGGGAGATGAAGGCAGGTGGATTAGGGGTTTAAGGATAACCTCGACTAATAGTAAGTTTGACAGCCTGGGCTACTGAGACCCTGTGTCAAACAACAACTACTAAAAACAAAAAGGAACAACAAAAATACTTAATGTAACCATTGATGCTTGGCTTTCTGAATACTTGAAAATAGCCTCTAAACCCCTTCCCACTCTTTCAATTACTCCTGTTATGTCTACTTCGTGTGCCCATTGGCACTCAAATTCTTATAGGAGTCAAGCAGATCAATGAGTGAAACTGTGGATCCATGTGGATTGTGGCCAGAGCTCTCATCTGTCTGCATGAGGCTAATCTTTACCCTGGGACAGAACTGATTCTTTAGGAGAAATCAGAAATCTGCATTCATTATGTATAAGTCTCCTACTGTAATTTTTTTGGTCATTTATCCTGAATGTCTAGGAGTAGATGGCAGGTGGGTTCAAACCCAGGGTTTACTTGGGCTTTCATTCACTCACTGAGATTTTTGTTCATCATGATTTTTATTTTTTGAAAACTATTTTCAAGTATTCAGAAAGCTGGATACCAATGGTTATATTAAGTATTTTTGTTGTTCCTTTTTGGTTTTAGTGGTTGTCGTTGACACAGGACCGCAAGTAGCCCAGGCTATCCTTGAACTTATTATTTACTTATTTTTATTTATTTGTATGAGTGTTTTGCCTGAATGAGGTAAAACCACATGGATGCAAACCCAAGGAGGTCAGAAGAGGGTGTCAGATCCCCTGGAAATGGACAGATAGCCTTTGTGTGGATGCTGAGAGCCAAACCCCGGTCTCTGCAAGAGCAGTCAGTGCTCTTAACTGCTGAGCCATCTCTGCAGCTACTCATGGAGATTTTCATGGAAATGCTCTTACAATTCTTTTTATTCTTTTTTCCTTTTTTTCTTCTTTTTTTGAGATAGGGTCTCCTTGTAGCCCCAGCTGTCCCAACACTTGCTATGTAGACCAAGCTGGCCTTGAACTCACAAAGATACACTTGCCTCTGCCTCCCAAATGCTGGGACTACAGGCACGTGCCACCACGCTGGGCAAAGAGAATGTCAAAGTTACAGATGACAGGCTCTTAAAATTCTTATTCATCCCTTCCTGTTCCCTGCCACCCCAAATGCAGACATGATCATAAGAAAGTGTCAGAAGACAGTTTCACTGTGCTGAGGACTTTATCTGCATTATTTGGTTATATAGCTAGCTTTATAAAATAATCATAGTCATGATTGTCCCAACTTTGAGAGACCTTGATTCAACCTTCAATCACCAGTATAAAAGAAAGAAAGACAGAGGAGAGACAGGAGGAAGAGGAGGAGGAAGAGGAGGAGGAGGAGGAGGAGGAGGAGGGAGGGAGGGAAGAAGGGAGGGAGGAAGGGAGAAAAAAAGAGTGAGAGCTGGGCTCAGAATGCTTATTAACTAAATAGAGCGAGTGACTAAACTGGGATTCACACTAAAGCTGATCCAAAGCCTGGAAGCTGGAGTGGGGAAGAGGATGTCACAGAAGGGGGAAAGGTTGCATAATAAAGAAAAACCTCACTAAACCTCACCTCTCTCCCAATGTGCCAAGAATGATGTCAATATTTATCCTACTTCAGATGACATGCAGAGATCTATGAGGGAAGGAAATTTACAATAATCTTGGTTGAAATGCCTTTGAGAAATGCTACTACTGTCCTTGAGATAGTTTTCCAGATTCAAGAATGTTGCAGAACTGTTGGGGAGAATTTCTGCCTTAAATATTTTGTGTCCTCCTGGTGATGACAATCACCGAGCATCATCTTTGTCAAAGGGCTTACACAGACCATTTCTTATCTTTGTAAGAAACTGAAAGGTGGATGTTAGAATCTCCACCTTACAGGTGAGGAAATGGAGGAGCAGAATGACTTGCTCAGATTTGCATAAATAGTATGAGACAGAGCTGGCAGTCAAACCCAGAGCAGCTTGACCCCATAGTCCATGCCCTTCCCTGTCCTCTACACAGTCCAAGGACAAAGGGGTGTGGATAAAGGTGCTTCAGTCATTGAGATCCTCTTCTTTAGAGGGCTGAGGACTGTGGCAGAGGCCTGTATCACCTTCTGAATATCTCTGTGTTCTTCATATTTCCCTATGTCTTGTGTCTAGGTGAAACAAAGCGGAACAGATGTTAAGTTCCTTAGGCTCTTTCTTTCCCTCACATGGCAACTGTGGAGAGATGTTAGGACATCTGTCAGCATGGGGTTCTGAATAACTATGTGAGTTTCCTGCTCACATGTGAATGAGAAATAGACCTTTGTTCGATTTTAAAGATCTTGTTACTGCTATATAACAGGCTTTTCC